TAGTAGAGTTATTCAGTTTGTGAAGTTATTCAGGATTTGAACCTAGGACCCTAAGTTAGAAATCATGCATTTTAATCACTGAGCACTGTAGGCCTACCTGTATTTCTAAAACAGGGGTGGGAATTAAAATGGGTTGGGGGCCAAAGTGAATTTTTGATTCAACTCTGAGTGTCACACCAAAATTTTGATGTTTCAGTGCATTTTCAAAACTTTCATACCCTGTTTTATGTCCACTTTAGGTTTGTTTTACTGTTAGTTTTTACAGATGATCAGTTCCGGTGTTTTCTAGCCAAAGATGGTTGGCGGGCCAAATACATAGGGTTTGTAATTCATTTTTGCAGGCCGCAAAAAAAAAATCGCTGTTGGCTCGCATGCAGCCCGCGGGCTGCACTTTGCCTAACTGTGTTCTAAAACAATCATAAAATTAGCTTGCCAGTATATTATAATACAGAGTATATTAATTGTACACCTGTACATATCATTTACATTGTTATTTTATTAGATTTGAAATTGATTTAGTGATAGCTAAACATGAGTCAGTATATCGTGTAATGAGATTATTAAATTTGCAGTGGTAGTACTTCTTATTTATTTAATGTATTGATTGATCGTTGTTTATGCATAATAATAATAATAGTAATTTGATGGTCTTATAACACATTTTGCTAAGGGCTATAGTCGACATTATCATTCTAGTCATTGTAACAACCATATACTGGAACATATACTGTAGTTAGTAGAAAAAAAAGTACTGGGTTTCGTTGGTTCTCTGATAAATTTGATTGCCTCTTGGGCTATTATATATTTTACATTTAAAACTCTTCTCTGCAATACCTTGATTTTATAATGCACTACAGTACAGTATGTATGAAGAGTATGTAGTGTTTAGGGTTAATTGTGGTGAAAACATTTTTTGAAGAATGCACCTCCCACCCCAAACTACACTAATACACCTAATACATATAAAAGTACATTTTTGACATCATGGCAGATATTTTATTTTAATATAATTTAGTTGATAGTGAAAGAGAATGTCAGTATCATGAACTGGAATCTAGGCCTGAGTAGATGAAAGGTCAAATAAATTGCTATAGTTTTTTTAAACTATACTTATAGCTAAGCTCTCAGTATAAATCTACCATGTTTAATAATCCAAATGGCGAACAGCAAGATTTAGCAAAAGTTAGACTTAGTCTTGGTAAATATTTATTCTAAATGTGAACATGGCTTTAGGTTATTAAGGATAATTAATGTTCCTATTGGTAATGTTGTGTATGTATTCAGTATTGCAGTACAGTAAATTTGTAATTGAAAAAGTGTCTTTAGCTAAATGTTGATTGACTGTTTTACTTTATTATTACAGCAGAAGGACAGTATTTTTATCCATAAGGTTTTGTTTTTATCAGAAAACAAACTGAAAATGCTTGGATGTTGAATGTTTTTTTAGCAGCGAACTAAATATCTTCATAATGCACAATAACAAAAATGGTAAATTATAATATTTAAAGAAAACATAAATTGCACATCTTTTGAATATGATCTTTTTATATTTTACAAGAATAAATTATTTTATCATATAATTAGCAAAATAAACACCAGTTATGATACTAAGTAATCATAACAATAGTAATTAAAAAAATATATATTAATATAAAATTAACATTAATTAAATAAAAAAATTAAAGTATGTTAATAATTAATATTTAGCAAAATTTATTGTATTGAAACTAAAAGATGTACGGTAAGAAAACATTCAAGAAAATTTGTAATTTATTATAAGCTGTTAAATTATAATCATAATAGTAATGAAATAATGACAGAAAAATGTACTGTATTATATTTAAACTAAAGGATATTAGGTGAAAGAAAATCATTAAAGGAAGTGTGCAATTTTTAATTATGAGCTATTAAATAATCATAACAGTAATTAAATAATGATAGAATAAAAAAATTAATAACATTAAATAAAAATATTAAATTATTTTCATAATTAATATAACAATATTTATTATATTTTAACTAAAAGATGCAACTTAGATAAAACAAAAATTATTCAAGGAAAAGTACAAAATTTTATTAATGAGCTATTCAAGATAACATGAATAGCTCATGGGAATGAATCTATTCATTATTTAATGTATGAAAGCAGTAATTACAGAGCAACTTATCTGGTTTCCAAGAATTTTCTAGAGAACTGCTTTCATAATGAGTGTTTTATCCAATGCATCAATTATCAATCCTTTTTGTTGTATTCGGCTAGTTAGGAAGAATTTTCTAAATGTTTAATCAAGCCTTCTCTTTTTACAAATGTGTTTCTGAATTCTATAGACCTGTGTCTTAATTATTAAATGTACTTGTGTGTGTGGATAGATATTTGGGTAATTATTCATAAATATGTTATCTACAACATGAATTCTTTACATACATCTTATGAATGACATGTCTATTACTCTGCACTTTATAGTCAGACTCTGAAAATTTTTTTTGATATGTTGTAGATCTGATTTTTCTAAGACAGAAAAAAGTTGTTTGACAAAGAACTGGGGAATGGTGAATGAGATACAGACTCCGAAGGAAAAAAATGTTTTGATACTGTATGTTGTAGATCTGATTTTTCTAAGACAGAAAAAAGTTGTTTGACAAAGAACTGGGGAATGATGAATGAGATACAGACTCCGAAGGAAAAAAATGTTTTGATACTGTATGTTCTGGATCTGATTTTTCTAAGACAGAAAAAAGTTGTTTGACAAAGAACTGGGGAATGGTGAATGAGATACAGATTTTTGAATACTTAAAAACTGGGGGGAAAAGGTGTAAAATTGGGCAGTTACACCCCTTTTCCCCCAGTTTTTAAATATTCAAAAATCTGTGTCTTATTCATCGTTTTCCGGTTTTTCGTCAAATAACTATTTTCTGTCTTAGAAAAATCAGTTCTGCAACATTTCAAAAAATTGTTTTCCTCCGGAGCCTGACTTAATTTGCTTTGCTTCTTCACGTATTTTCTGGTAGCAGTTCTGACTTCTTCACATCCATTAAGGTATATTCATTTTTTTTCTAGAATATACATCTATTTAGTTATGTTTGCCGACTTTTTTATTTACATATTAATGTGTACTGTCCTGTGTTTGCTAACTTACTGTATGAATGTCATTATTATTATTAATATTTAATTATTTGTCCAGAGAAACATGTGGTATGGTACATATAGAATAAATATGAATGCGCTTGCTAGGGATATAAAGTGCATTATATTATTAGAGGACCAGCTGTTTTATTAGAGGCCTAAAGTTTTCTGCAACCAAGTTGACCTTATACATAAATGACTAGAACAGATGATACATGAATACTTTTAAGTAGGCCTATGTGATAAATTTATATTCCTGTATCTATTGCCTTAGTTATTGGCTATAATGTATGCTAGGATTATATTCAAATGGCTCAATGTTCGAGGAGTTACAGTAAAGTAACATGTTATGGTTAAAATGGGGATAAATGTATGCATGTATTCTTATTTGCTTTAAGAGTATAATTTACACAAAAAAAAGCAACTTATGAAAAACGAGATGAAATAGGTTAAAAAATATAATATAATTTTTAATATAATATATAATGTGCCAAGGCGAGTAACAAAAATATATATACTATTAGTGGATCGACATTTACTGTAGCATGTGGCGTGTTATTATGGAAGTCGCAGCCATGATGGTGACATACCAAACCAACCAACCACTATAAATAATGTAATAAATATAGTGCATCTTCCAATTCAAGACTCCTTTTAATTCAAAACTTTTCAAAGAACCAAATTAAACAATCTTCAATCTTTTAACATACAGTACAGCTAGCCTCTAAGTAGAGACCAAACCCTGGGACCACCTCAAATTTTGTTATCTGAAAGATGGTCTCGAATTGGTGGGCCAACTATAATGAGATGATGATAATGTATATAATATATGATATATAATATAATTTGTCGCTCACATCACGAACTAGCACAATCAAAGTAGATTGTGTTATTTCGTGAAATCGAGAAAGCGCGTCAAAATACACGCTGTTGTTGTTAAGGTCTTTTTGTGTCTTAAAGAATACAAAATTGCTTGACAACCAATACGCGCTCGTTTTGACGCGCTACTGTGATTCTATTTCGATTGTGTTAGTTCGTGATGTGAACGACGAATTTATGCCTATTTTCATCATTTATTTGAATTGCCTCTGCAATACTTCATTGCAATATTTGTTGCAATCTAGTATATTGGGTAAGTAGACGCTGTGTGACTCATCAGTAAGTTTTGAACTTACTGATGAGTATGAGACTGAAAGTGTACGGTGCTTGTGTCCATAGACAGATCATTTTATGTTCGTGTCTCTTCACATAGAAGTATATAATAAGTACCTGGTTACAGACTTTTTTGGAATAAAGTGAGTAATGCTGATTTACATGTATGACTAGGAGGAGACGAAGAGGAGGTTGAACGTTGTGTCATCAACACTTTCTTCAAACAATTAAGGCATTCACTCACAGCGCTCGACGGTTGTCGCTGCCAGCACATTTTTAGGAAGAACGCAATGACACAACATGCGTGCAACGGATCGTTTTTAATGACGGTCCGTTCAGACTGCCACAGAAAATCGGTGGACAGCGTTGTGTCGTCTATCGCTCACAGGAAGTGGAGTTAGATTCTATGCTCGGCTTTGGAGTGCTTCTACTAAAAAAATTCTATCAAGCCACTGGCTTGCCTGCACCAGGTCTGCTTATGAATTTTACATTTATAACAAATGTTAAATTTAATATCATGAATAAAACTAGGTTTTAGAAATGAGGTTACAGAAAACTGTCTTGTCTAAAAACCACATGAGGAGACTCATTTAACTTCATAAGACAGTTTTTTTCTTTGAAATACGTACAAATGAAAAAAATTAATAATTATCCTATTCTCAAAGGTTTTGTAGATTTCATTAATATAATATTTTTAATGTGATAACTAATTTTGTTTTTTCAGTGGCCATGTTTCTGAACACTTTAACTCCCAAGTTTTATGTGGCCTTAACTGGAACATCTTCATTAATTTCCGGCCTAATATTGGTGAGTATCTTCAAAATTGATTAATAAATTACCAGAACAAGAGATTATAATTAACACAGTTAATATTAACCAAATTGTATATTTACTCAAGTACATGCAAAGGGTATTTGTTGATAAAAGAATAGGCCTTGTGAACGCTGTTTTTTGAATGCATGTTTTTCATTATTGTATCTATATTTGTTTTATATAATTAATATTCTTACTTGTTGTCATCCTACCAATTTATAATAAATACTGTACATTCATCAATTTTTTACAATGCTGCAGCTGCTGTATTATTTATTTCCTCGTACTGTAGTAGGATGAATAAAGTTTCCTTGTATCATTGTATCCTATGCTCAATGATAATGACATGCTCTTTTTTCCTCGCTGATGATATTGCTTCAGTTAATGTTTCTGCACTGAAGGTAATATGTGGATAAATTTCATAGAGGCAGTTTATTGCAGTATGCGCTATATATAATTAAAACATTATTATAATTGTAATAATGAGATATAAAAAAAAAGTAATGAAAATGAGCATAAGATAATAATGAGCAAATAGATAGTGCATAAGTTATTCATTCATTCATCTATGATGCAGAAAATCATGTGATTTTTCAAAATACTACAATCCACTTCATATTTTTTTTAAATTATGTAATTGTGATTATAATTATTTCCTTTTTTATAGTTTTAATAATTTTATGATGAATTATTTACTGCTTTAAAATATAATTTTTTTTCATCAGTATTTTCAACAGTCTTTATTTTAGGCAGAATCTCACTTTACAACTTCCATGTGGAGTTCCTCCTCATATTGTAAAATTAATTATGGTTCCATCTGTTTTCTCATTAACACATGTGTTCTGTCATTCACGTTTCAATGTTTTTTTTTTATTTTAGCCTTTTTTTCAAGTAATGAATTTGCTACCACAATAAGAAATTTAGATTGATCCCATTGGTTTTTATAATAGACCTTTCCGCTAAGCCCCGCCCCTTGGATATTGTTGCTAAGGTCCCACAAACAACATCATTTTGTAGAAGAAAATATGGCTGGCTGTGCGGTCGCGGGCACAGAGTGGTTGTTAGGTATTCCGGACAATATCTGTTTTACCTTTCTGCCGAATCATAAAAATGTATCAGAAAGTGTCTTAAAAAGAGGTCTAAATTACTATTTGCAAGTATACATTCAAATAATTAAAATAATGACACTAAAAGTTGATGGAAATTACTGGCGATTGATGCGGAAGTCTTATTCATCTCCATGGTTTCACATCGAGATTTCAGCATAAAATCTCATCGATTCTTCTTGTTCTTGCAAATCGGGGTAAGGTCACAGGAAGGTTTCGACTTAAAAATTAGGAAAAGATGTGTATAAGAGACAGCTACTGTGATTCTATTTCGATTGTGCAATGATATTTTGACTAATTCTTATACCATCCAGGCCATATGAAAATTAAAATAATCGCTATATAAGATTCGATGTTTCTCACTGGACATTTTAGAAATGTACACAATCAGAAGAACCAGTCATATTATATAAATCTATATGTTTTTTTTTTTTTGTTTTTTTTTGTAAACTGCGTATGCAGCATTAAAATTGTAACATTGTTGTACCATTCAGCACGCGGTGGTTGACAAACGTTATGTAGCAGAATTACAATCAAAACAAAAAGGCATTAAACCAGTGCATTTCATGTAGTGTA